TACATATTGGGGTGGAGATAAAAAGATTCAAAAGAATCTTTACCCAAGAAGTTTGCAACCTAATAAGGAAGATGGCTCTGGAATGACCAAGTCGTATTCCTCCAACCCCCTTTTCAAATGCTCCTGTCAGTTACTAACAGCATCTGTTATTACTACTGTTACTTCAAAATGGAGTTTCTGCATGTGGTTATTGTATGTTAGTTATATTTTAGGGTGAGTACGCTTCCTCGCATCTTTTAATCACATCAGTGAGCTGTCTTCTAATTAATGCCCAACAGAGGTTATTTCCCAGAGGGCTCTCGCGCAAATGCTCGTTCTCCGCATTGCCTACACCTCTAGTCTACCTAAGGCCAATAAACCGCCAAGTAGATCAGACTCTCCGGGCTTTGGTCAGTTTCCTGTAGTTTTGCATTTACAGTTCTCTGATATTTATTTTAAAACCTCTCTACCTTCTGCTTCTATTGTACCACTGAGAACACAAAGGGAACAATGAAGCGCCTGTTGTATGCTAGGTCGAAACTGGAATCAATCACAGGTTAAATTATGCTCAGATATGTCCTTTCAGAAGTCAAGGTAAAGGAGAATACATTTAAAAAATACTTCTCTCTCAGAAATTGCCAAGTGGACTTTTTGATAATTGCAAGGAATAAGCTATCCCTTTCTAAAAGATCGAAAAACGAAGGAGTGTTGTATTTAGATAATGTGATATAGTAGTGATCAGAATGTTTATTACTGTAGGGGCACTTGGGTGGCTCAGTGGGTTAAGCGTCTGGCTCTGGATTTCTGCTCAAGTCATGATCTTGCAGTTGATGAGATAGAGCCCCATGTCAGGGGCTGTGCTGACAGCACAGAGCCTGCTTGGGATCCCACCCCCCCCCCCGCCCCTCCCCTACCTCTCTCAAAATAATAAACATTTTAAATAAGAATGTTATTACTGTATATTTGTTTTTAAGATGCATTATGATTTTGCCTCCGATATCTTTTTAAAGTGTGTGTGTGTGTGTGTGTGTGTGTGTGTGTGTGTGTGTGGTTTGTGAAGTCTTAGCTACTCAAATTTAGAATCAGAGTGTTAGTGGGGCGCTTGGGTGGCTCAGTCGGTTAAGCATCCGACTTTGGCTCAGGT